TATCGAACATCTCAACTATAGCTCTACTGAGACATGTTGGACTTTCAAAACCGGTCCTTCCATGATTCAAGTAAAAACGCTGCATAATTAATTCTATTTTAGATGGTATGGGTGACGGCTACTGCGCCGTATATCGTTCTGACCATTCTGCTCATTCGAGGCGTAACGCTACCCGGTGCTGCTAAAGGAATCTACTACTATCTCACGCCAGATTTCTCGAAACTCAATGATCCAAAGGTGCCTTTGTAGAAGGATATTTCAAGGTGATTTCAAATAGAGAAGTTCTTCGTTCAGGTGTGGTCAGCAGCAGCTTCGCAAATTTTCTTCTCTCTTGGGCCAGGTTTTGGTGTATTGTTAGCGTTGAGTAGCTATAACGACTTCCACAATAATTGCTACAGGTATGATTACTTATAAGGATTTATCATCTGAATCCACCAAAAATTATTAGAATTGCTGTCACTCAGTTGTTCGGATCGAGAACAAATCTTCCTTCTTTAAGAGATGCGATCGTCACGTCATCGATCAATTGTTTGACATCATTTTTCTCTGGTTTTGTTATCTTTTCAACACTGGGTTACATGGCTGAACTTACAAATAAAGAAGTCAGCGAGGTATGTGTGAAATCAAGATCGTACCACAGTCATATACGTAGTGAATAGCCGGGGATTACTCTTTCACGGAAATGCTACACTTATCTTGAACAGGTAGGGACATGGGGGCGTTGCAAAAACCCGCATAGGATAGGGCCCGTTTGGACCTTGTAAAATGTGACCGTAGGTGTCTTTCTGATTCTACATTATTTGATTCAAGCAACGCATTGTTCTTATCCATGACGTTTTTGAAAGTTTTGAAAGGGATTTGAGAAACTGTGATTTTTTCCTCGTTGAACACTACACGGGCTCTTAAAATTCTTCCATTTTCCGTGTTAGGCTTCCTCAAGCCTTACCAGACCTTATAGGGGTATTAACAGTGTAGTTGGTTATGATCTTCGTTTCGGAGCGACAGCATGCAGTTAAGATGGTTCGGTTAAGGTTGTCGGCGATCATGACGCCTCGCTGATCTTCATCGTCTATCCACAAGCATTAGCTACGATGAACTACAGTAGTGCATGGTCATTCATCTTCTTCATTATGCTTATCACTCTCGGAATCGACAGCACGGTATGGTTCCTTAGCTTCAAGACATAGTTCACGATAATTTTGACTTGTCTAGNCTAGACGGGCTCTTAAAATTCTTCCATTTTCCGTTCTAGGCTTCCTCAAGCCTTACCAGATCTTATCAAGGGTATTAACAGTGCAGTTAGTTATAATCTTCGTTCCGGAACGGCAGCATGCAGTTAAGATGGTTCGGTTAAGGTTGTCGGAGATCATGACGCCTCACTGATCTTCATCGTCTATCCACAAGCATTAGCTACGATGAACTATAGTAGTGCATGGTCATTCATCTTCTTCATTATGCTTATCACTCTCGGAATCGACAGCACGGTATGAATCCTTACCTTGAAGGCATAGTTCACGATAATTCTGACTTATCTAGCGTATGTGAAACAATGGAAGTTGTAGTGCGTAGTAGCGCAAAAATGACGACGAAAGCACAAAAATCGGCGAATTTTAGGAAATATAAGTTCTTAAAAAGTAGCAAGAAGAGGGAGTTGTATGAGATTATACATATGTCTTTAACCGTCTGCGTGTCTCCTACGTGAGTGTACTATTTCTGTGTCCTAACGCTTCATCGTGAATTGTACAGTCTTAACAAGGTCGTCACAACACGGCCACTCTTGGGCGTGCACGTCGGTCAAGCCAGTTTTGAAGCTCTTATAATGCCTTGTCGTGGCCTTTTTCCCCCTGACAATTTCCACACGCCATCCTCGATAGTCACAGGTTTTTTCCTAAAAGGGATACCAAGAACCTTTTTTATGAATATGCTTTTAATAGATCATTATAGGTAGGATTCAGGTCCTATTTTTATTTATCGTTTCCCAATCAAGTCGATGAAAGTAACAGGATATGTAGATTGCCTGAAATGCCTGTTTACAGTTTGCTGGAATTGAAGCCCTGATCACCGGTCTATGTGACGAGTCCCGATTTCTCTCGCGTAATAGAAAATGGTTTGTAGGCGTGGTTTGTGTAATCTACTACTTTGGCAGCCTTCCAGCAATCAGCTATGTAGGTTACAACTTCCTTTCTCGGCGATTTCTCTATTGAACTATTGTTTCAAGGGAGGACAGTATGTGATTCCATTTCTCGATGAATATGGTGTTTCGTTGTCGGTTTTGTTCATAGTCACTTGTGAAATGGTAGCCGTCTGCTGGTTCTATGGAATCGACCGTTTCAGCAATGATATTAAGTAAATTTTGTTTGTTCTACATCGTTTCATTGTGCCAAACGTGACAGTGAGAGGATGGATAGTTTTGCATAGTCCCAGATCCTTACCGTTATCCTACGGTATTCCATTTTCAGATCGATGCTGGGGTTCTATCCAGGAATCTATTGGAGGATATGTTGGATGCTCTGTCCAATATTCATCTCGGTGGGTTGCCATCCAGTTATTGTTGTTCAGGTTACCTTCGTTTGCAATAAATGATAGATGCTAATCCGACGATCAGAGGAAATCTTCTTATACATGGCAGAGAATCTGCGCTGCCCATACTGATTGTTTTTGCCATGACGGATGTGTGGTCTTATTCTTCATTGGAATTCCCCATGAACAAGAACCGGGTCTGACGCGGCGGTATAATGGTCCTGCACTCCTTCCCTTCTTCCCCTCCCTTCGATTCCGAAGTCACAACGAGAAGGTGCCTTCTACACCTGTCTTGTAATGTGTTTCGATAACCAGGACAAAAGAATATGTATGTAAATCTTGTACAAATCTAGAGACTATTCACACCACAGAAGATGACATGAAATGACTGCGAGATCAATTACCACTTATTTTTGCAAGCAGTAAATAATGATATGTGAGTGGTGCTACACTTCACGTACTAAGCCCACACAGATGAGTAATATAATTTTATGAGCAACCATGTATAAAGAAACTAAATGTCATGATAAATGCGAGTAAATGTGATTGGCCATCCAATCCTCACAACCTCCTTGCGGTACTGCTGCTCCTTGGTTCATCCTTGGCTCTGAACCACTCTTCAGGATCTTCCTTGCGTGGAATTGACTTGGCAGCAGTTGCGCCAACGGTAGATGACAATATAGTGGTGCTGCGGAATCTTCTGGAGCTGCGCCAACGGTGTTGACGTCAAGTGCGTGCAAGGAGACGGAGACGTCTAGCCTGCTGGTGACGAGAGTGAATGGTGCAATCCTCACATGATGGTATGAACGGCCAGAGTGTCTGGCTAAGCATAGCTTCTCGGCGTCCTCTCGTTCTCTGTAGCGTACTATTCCTTCTCAGCGGAGCGAGGTGCGCGCCACACCAGCCGTCCTATGAAGTCAAGTGAAAAACACAAAACCCTCGATGCCATGTGTCGGGAACGTAGGCTACCTCATATTCAACTTCCTTCGGACTTCGACTTCCTAAGATCTAATCACACGCCTATGTGACCCGCGGCATGTTCTGCGACGGCGTAACTCCGAAGAGAAGTAAGCTACCCGGAACGGATGTGGACTATTCCTCTCCGCAGTGGTGGCCCCCAGCAGCTTACCCAAGCAGCTGGCCATGCATAGAGGGATCGAAACTCCTGATGAAAGACGGGACGCAGGCAGAAGATGACAGACGAAGAGAATTGGCAACGGTTAAAGGCACCGTTCACGATAGTTTTGGGTAACCCAGATTATGATGAGAAATGGAAGACAAAATCGAAACTAGTGCGACTGAGGTGAAGAAACTGCGAGCATCGGTGTTTTCAAAGTGAAAAAAAGGCTTTGAAAAAACGCTAGAA